CTCCTCAACTAAAAAAGACAAAGAGGTCAAACAAAGATGTTATCTGAGCATGGAAGGTATGATCGTAAAATGACTATATTGAATAAAGTTGGTCAGCCAGTTGGTCCTAGTAATGATGTCGGGATAGAGTTGAGCAGCTTCCTCGGTACACTTGCTAGGAATGAGACCCTTTGACCTCTTTATATAGAAAATTGGAAGCTGATGGACACAAAAGATGATTTGTGGGATTAAACCAAGATTTGAAGTATTCAATTTTCTGTTAAGTTAAATATATTTAAAATTTATTGCACTAACTCAATGTTCAAATTTTCAGAAGAAATATGACATTCCAGAAATTGGTGTTAGATGGACTTTAAAAACAGTTTAAGAAGCTTGGAGAAGGCGTAAGTTTGATTTGAAAACACACTACTTTGATGCCTACGCTAATGATGAAATTCAGATGGAAAACAAGCCTGATGATGTTCCAACATCTCAATTTAAGGAACTTCTTAAATATTGGAACTCGGAAAAATTCCAGGTAAATCTTACTAGTTTGTAGTGTGGTTCAATTATGTTAAGCTAAGTTTACATTATCATTTCCCTTCTGTCCTTGTTGGATACGAGAACAACCTGTAATACATGTTTCTTGGTTGAATTTTTCTCCTTATGTATTTAGTTACTTCTCTTTTAGTAAGAGAATATTGTGATTAGCTGATTTGGTGGTTATTTTTGCTCTTCATTTCCAAAATACTTTAAGTTATATAAAGAGCTCTTTTCTTCTGTAACTGATCATTGGTAGTATCTCTTCTATCTCTTCTTTTTGAGAGTCACTGAGCTCTTATTTTTTTATGAATCACTGGAAAGAATCTTTCCTCTTCTATAAAAATCACTTGATCATTATAAAACTTCTCTTCTATTAGCAAAAAATTTCAAAAATCAATACTGAGAATTGGAAAAGAGTTAAAGAATCCACATACTGTTGGCAAGAAAAGTTTTGCTTTAGTTCGCAATTATTTGGTATGAGCTCTTGCGTAGCATTGAAAAAAACTTGTCACATCTTAAAAAAAATGTTTGATATCCATTTTTAATGTCTACTGGAAAAAGAGAGGAAAACTAGTGTTACCCCATCACCTAAGGATTTTTTTTTTGGTTACAAGAAAAAGAAAGCCCAATCGATCATACAAGGATACATATGAAGATACAGCTAGTAAAATTGTGATATTTTTATCTAAGTTTTATTTTGTTTGTTTTGAATTTGTTTTTTCATATTTACTCTTTATATGTGTACTTGAATTCAGTTGTTTTTTTAATAGTAAAACTGTATTATAGGCTGAGATGGAAAATATTGAAATGCAACAAAAAGAAGATAAAAATGAGACAATTGAGGCATTTTCTTTTGCCATGGGATCAGAACATCCAGGACATTTGAGATTATATGTAATAGGGGTTACAAAAACTACTTTGAAATGGAAAGTGGGACATTTTGAAGCCTTGTCAAATGCAACAAATGACCTCATGAAAAAAATTGAAGAGAGAATGATGAGAATGGAGGAAAAAATTGAAATACAGAAAGAATACTATGACCAACAAAAGACCATGATGCGACAAGAAATTGTAGAATGTCATAACAAAACTTCAACGGTCAGGCCTACCAATTGATGCTAATGTTCTAGAAACATTAATTGATGTTTCCTCAACACCAAAAACAAAAATTCAGTCAGTCCACCGTTCATCTACCAGTAGCAACAATCAAGGTCAGAATCCCCCTCCTTCTTCTTCATTTTCTTCTACTACTGCTTTTGTAGTTTCTTGTTTGGTTCATCTTCATATATGGATTGTTATGTTAATCTGTGTCTACTTCTTTTTCTTATGCTACTACACTTGAAATCTTCTTGTATTATTGTTGGTGCAACTGCAATGATCCTTTTATTTTTGTCGAAGTTGATATTATTGAGATTAGTGTTACTGTTGTTTGCATAGTTTAGGTGTTGTTAGTTTTTAGTAACTGCGATCATCATTTTCCTTTGTGATTTATCGTTTATTTCTGATGTATATGTTTTTGTTGTATTTACTCTTGATGCCCCTATTTGTTTCTTTGTCTATGGTGTTTAACTGTTATATTTTGATCAACAAATATCATGTTTATGATTGTATAATATTTCTAGTTCTGATTTTGAGGATTGTAATTTGTGATTTATTGGAATCCAATGTATACCGTCCTTTGGTTGGTAGAGTTTGAAAATTGTGGTAGTGGATTGAGTTGACTTGTTCAAGTTCAATGCTTGTAATGTAGTTAGCTAACTTATTTGTTCCTGACTTAGTTGTTCCAGATCAGCTTCTTCACCTGGTGCCAATTCTTGTATGTGTTTACTGGCTACTAAACTGTCCTCACCCATGTACACTTTTATAGCTATATTTTTCGAGTTGTTTCATGATAGGTTTGTCTCCTCCACATGAAGAGATAGAGCTTCTACCTCTATGTTAGAGTCTTGGATTCCTGGGTGTTATTTTCATCATGGACAAAAAGAGAAAATTAGGAATTGTGTGTCTTCTTTTTCTTGTCATTTATGAACTTTTTATTTCCTAATTGTTGACCCTTTTGAAATTGTAGGTGAACAAAATGATGAGCAAAGCAGGGATGAAAGCAGCGAAGACCTTACTTAAAAGAGGAAATGACATATGTGTACAACTGATAGTTATAATTAGCAATCAATAGCGCAACATTTATTAGCATTTAATAAACAAATAAAAAAATAAGCACAAAATGACCCAAATTAATAAATGACATTTTAATAGTTTTTTTTCCTTGTATAACCAAATATCACTAAACAATAAAAATAACGGAAACATAAAAAGTTATACATACAATATGTAACTGCCTAAAAACATAAATTATGTATTTTTGTATATATTTTTGTTCGTTATTTGGTAATAAAAAATTTAATTGTATACTTGATTGTATATAGGTAGAAAAATGGTGTATTCATTCACTTAGTATTGGCATATATTTATAGCTATGTTATCCCTTTATATATTCAGTAACTTATAATATGTATACACTGCATTGAAAAAAATAATTTAATCATGAACATCATGTATGCATTGTATTCATGTATGTGTATCCGTGTATTCATTCTCTCAAAATTTGCATACATTCTAGATTCTTTCTTCAGAAAATGAAGATTGCACATGAAATATAAAATGCTCAATAGAAAACACACAAATCGAATTGGAAAACAATAAGAACTTACATGACTATAAAATTTAGACTTAGGGATGGAGAATTCACAAAACTAGAATCAGAATCTCCATTTTTATGAATATCCTAGGATAACTTTCTTAAACATGACAATTGATACCCACAATTAAAAACTACTACATAATTTTTGTTACCTAAATTAGATATAACCTTCAATTTCAAAATTAAAACAACTCCAAAAAAAGTCAAACAACAATACAAGAGGGGATCAAACATAGGCTAACAATCAGGGAAATTGGAGGGTAAGTACCAACAACTATCAAGAATTTAAAAGAGAAAGAGAAAAAATACACTGACGAATGTTTTTATAGAATTCAATATGTAAAACAAATAAACAAGAAAGTAAATCATCTTTTGTCAAAGTAATGAAGAAGATAATCAATAAATAAAAATATGATTCAAAAGAATGGTATATGGACGGGAAAGAAGAGAAAAAAAGGGAGAAAAAAACCACTTCCAAATAAAAAAAGGACATCATACTGTCACCTCTTAAAATTATTAATTTAATTACAAAAATAACTTCCCAATACGTGGGCTACTAATTGCAAAATTTGATTTTTAAGAACTTTTTTTTGTCAAGAAAATAAAAGATGGCTATATGTTGCCAATTACTAAAATGAGTTGTCATGTTGTGCCATAAATGACAACTGGGACTATTATTATGTTTGGGCTTAATTTTTGTGAACATCAATGTATGTTAACTCTTGAATAGTAAATCAAGATCTTCTCCTTTATCTATAATATATGAATGCTACAAGTTGATGTACATATTGTTTTAATATGTTTTATCATTGTATTAAAGTTTATTTCAAAAATGGCTACAATAGTCTGCAATAACCATTAAAAAGGTCTATTGCAATAGCTTAATAACATTGGTGCAGAGTTAAGAAGAACCATTGTAATAGCTTAGATCGAGTTGTATAATAAAGTTGTTGTGATAGGTCATTTGCAACAATTTGCAATTCTTGTACAAACTGCAGAAAAGTGTCGTCCTAGACTTAAGAATAATTGTTGCTATAGATACTGTGTTGCAACAGTTTACAGCTATTGCTATAAAACCTTTTGCGACGGTTCGTAACTATTGCAACAACCACAGAAAAGTGTCGTCCCAAAGTAAAAATTAATTGTTGTTGTAGACAGTGTGTGGCAACGGTTTATCACCGTCACTATAAAATCTCTTGCAACGGTTTTCAATAGATGTAGAAAAGTATTGTCCTAGACTAAAGTATAATCGTATCTATTGATGGTCTATGGCAACAACTTTCAACTGTTGCTAGGAAATCATTACTATAGATATATCGCAACAACCTTATATGTAACACGCCAGTTTCCGTTGCCATAACTCAATTTCAACACTTTTTGAGTTTATGGCAATGATTATTCTTTTGTTGCAACATGCATGTTTTCTAGTAGTGGATGAACCAAACATAAGTGTCTAACACATGCAATATACAAGTCTCTTCACAAAATTAAGAAGCATGATATAATAACTAAAAGTCTCACGATAAAATAATAAATAAAAATACATCTAACTCTAGCTATTACATTCCCAGATCTAAATGTCATCATACTAAAAAAAACTCAAGCTAAAATTGGATGAAAGTAGCTCACTCTCAAATCTAGAATGTAGTTGTGCTAAAGGTAAAAACAAAGTGACAGGAATAGTATCAGTATAAATAAATAGACATCATAGGCTAACTAAGATTAATAAATAGTATATAATTATAGGCATAAAACAAGTAGATAGATTCACTCAACATAGTCAAACAATAGAATCACAAGTCATAGAAATCACCATTATCAGTAACATACTTACATGTGTATAGTCTATAAATGCATTTCGTCCTTTTGGCATATCCCCATCCTCAAACATTGAAAATAGTAAATAAAAATTGTATCTGTTATAGTCTTTCAACAAAGAACACACAACCAAATGTTGAAATTCTAAGGACCTTCGTGTTTTTAAAGTACTATAAACATAAAAAATAAAAACAATAACAAAATTCGTCACTAAAACAAGAGGTTACTCTTCTTTTTAAAAATGCCATCCCCATATGTTGAAGAAATGAGAGCAATAAGGAGGGGAAATTGCAAAAGCACAAATGAAGTAATCGGTAGGCAAGCCATTGTTGCGACTGGTAAAAGAACCCATGATTTCTTCTGCCCAAACACGAGATACACCGTTGAACTAAAGCTTATCATCATGGATGTTATAGAAAGAAACAGAGTTAGCAGTCCTAGGATAAGACTCCTTGGCAAGGTATGCAAGAAATCTTCTTCTGCATAACGAGATGTCAAAATTGACAAAAACACTAATAGAGAGGTGCTTGAAGTGAACAATGAAGCTGCATTCGAGATTGCAAAAATAATGAAAGCTATGTTCCAAGAGAAAATGGGGAGTCCACTTTGTTGTTCATTGCCTCCTGGTACTGTGATTGCGGCAGCAAATGCGATAGTAGCAATTAGTGCTGCTGCAGTTGTGCATGAGCTTGATGTATCTTTCATCCATTTTTCTCCATCTACCTTCAACTTCTCATGTTTATCAGTAAATACCGCATACGGAGCATCCCCCTCACCATTTAAGAATTCCCAGTACAAAGGCGGTACAATCTTCTTTACTTCCTAATTTATATATATACGATGTTAGTCGATTACTTAAAAATAATCAGCCAAAATGATTCGATTTTATGCTTAACCAGCTAGGCTTGTTAAATGAATGGAAAATCAATATGTGCCGAAAAGTAAAATCTAATTACCACGGTAGATTTTATTATATCAAATATATGATAGTTCTAGAAACTAACGTGTGTCTAGGCTGGAGTGGTACATATCTAAAATATTAGATTTAAACAGTTCACGAGATATTGATGAAAAACAGGACGTGATACTAAAAATTGAGTTAGATTTCGAAGGACTTACAATGCAATTCAAGATTTAAAGTAATAAAATTCTTAGTTAGTATCAATGCAGAAGAAGTTACTCTATCTGTCCCATAGTTGTCATGTGTCACTTTTCAAGAGTCAAACTATATGAAATTTGACTAGCATTTTAAAATATATATTTTCATCAAATTACCATGAGAAAAGTTGCAACTTGTAGTGCTTATAATATAGTTTTTGAATATCCAAACTCTAAATGTAAAATATCAACTTGATCTAATCCAATTTGTCTTGGAAAATGAGGGAGTTCGACTTTCAAAAAAGGAAACATGACAACTAATTTAGGACAGAGGGAATACTAATTCTTAATCACATAATGAGATAAATTTGATTAGGGTGTATGGTACAGAAGTTAAATCACCTTAAACCATTGTAGTTCTCGCTGCATCTGAAGAGCTGGTCCAGAGACAAGGTTTAGCTTATTTCGTGGTGCCAACATTCCAGCCAAATGCAACACATTATTGTTAGAGGAGTCTGTGGAAATCATTAATTGGTGCCGGAACTGGCTCATCCGACGGACCAAATTAAACACATTTTCGCAGCGATACTCTATTGCAATGTGCAATATATTCTTAGAATCTCGATCATAACAATAAGCTAAAGAAGGAAACCTTCTGACAATAATTTCAACAAGCTCATAAGTGTCATAACATGCTGCGTCAAGAAGAGGACGGCTAACAATGGAATCAACTTCTTTGTCATTCAGACGTTCTATTTTCTTGCATAAGCATTCTGCATACATAACTGCATAGTGATGAATTGACTTTTTCTTTCGGATGTTCTTCAAAGGAGGCACTGCAGTACAACAACACACAAAGACCAATTTTTTCGACACAATTACAAAGAAATTAGTGTAGACACAAAACAACTCATAATTGTTCTAGAAAAATATATATGAAATCCTTAGGCATAAACAAATTTGCAGATTTATTTCAAGATCGCATAGATAAATCCAAGAAAGTAATCAACAAAGTTAGAGGGAGAGATTTATATTGTAGAATTCTCACGGATATGTGAAAAATCGAGGATTGTATTGATGATTGAGTTACATACTTCTTATATAGGAGAAGAGTCATATACTAGCTACACTAGGAATCCTAATACAACACATATATTATTTATATCTTATCCTAGTCGACTATATCAGCTTTAGTCGTACAAAATATAGACTTGTACATAAATTAGGGTTTAGTAGTCTACTCCTAGCGTAACTCTAACTCTAACTCGTCAGGCAGCTTCACCGAACCTGTTCACTGAACCTGTTCCTCTGAAATGTTCCATCAACTTTCTTCAACACTTCCCCTCAATCTAGTGAGTGGAGGGACTGTAACTCCTAGCTTGCGACAAAACTCAGCAAAAACCTGTTTGGTTAATGCTTTTGTATGAATATTTGTTAGCTAATCCCTAGACCAGTGACAAGTTGTGCTCTGTCCAAACACACCTGAGCAAAATTGAGTTGCAGAGAGAAAACATAGGCATAATGTGCAGATTAAGTTAACTCTACTTCTTCATGCTAACCTATCTTTATTTCTATGGGTTGAGGCTTTCCTTACTGCAGTATTCCTTGTTAATAGACTGTCTTCCTCAGTCCTAAAGATGGTGACTCCATTTGTTAATTTGTATGGAGAACAACCTGATTATATATAATAGCCTAAAAGTGTTTGAGTGTAGATGTTTTTCGTATATCAAGGGTAGCAATAAGTTCAGTCCAAAGACTTACCCTTGTGTATTCATAGGGTATAGCAGCCTATACAAAGGATATAGATGCTACCATCCATCTACAAGGAGGTTTTACATATCCAGACATGTTGTGTGTGATGTAAACACATTACCCTATGTGTCTCCAAATCAGTCTCAAACTAATATTGATGTCTCACCTCACCTTGCTCCTTTTGTTGAACTTTTCTCTAAATTGCAGGCACATGATGATTCTACTTCATGGGAAGTACATGCTGCTAGTACAGACATAAATGGTGATAATGTTGCTCCTACTCCTATGCTTGTTGATGATAAAAGTACTACTGACCGCTCAAGTGCAGGATCAGATGGTGAGGAACATGTTGAATGTGATGCTCCATATAGTAATATTGAAACTTCAGTTGCAGATTTTGGATCTGCCAGTGGCAGTGAGGAACAACTTGCACTTACAGGTCCAGTTAATGAGCATCATCAAACAACTACTATAGTTGATGTACCTGTGGACCATCAATCTGACAATGCCACACTCCAGTCAACTACTTTGGTTGAGGTACTTCATGCACCACAAGTGCATTATATGATCACTAAGAACAAGGGAAGGACATGAAATATGTCTTACAATGCCACAATCTTCCAAATGTTTGATGAAGTCTGTTTGGATTAACTCATCACCTCCATCACACTAAAAAATCTTAATTTCTTTAGAGAATTGTTTTTCCACCATTTTCTGAAATTTTACAAAGAATTCAGATTTCTTTTTCAGTGGATAAATCCATGGATATCTCGTGTGATCATCAGCAAAAACAACATAATATTTCATACTTTGTGAAGATTCGACAGGAGCAGGTCTCCATAAGTCGCAATGGATTTTCAATAAAGGTTCTTTTTCAATTTTATTTCTCAAACCAAATGAAAGTTTACAACTTTGTCCCAATTGACAACTAGAACAAACAGTAGGCATTTTATTCCAACTACTAATATTGATGCAACTATTACTATTCAAAAACTTCAAAGACTTCAACTAGAATGTCCTAATCTAGTATGTCACATGTTGTCTGATGTGTCCCAATCGTGTGCAGCACTTAAAGCATAGAGATTGTTATCTTCCAAAGCATAGAGTCCATTCCGTTTAGTTCCCTTGCCCAGTAACGTCCTTGTCTTCTTATCCTTTACAACAAAGTTAGTTTCATCAAATTCAAGAGTGCAATAATTATCTTTTGCAAGCTTACTAACTGAGAGTAAATTCTTATTGATCTTAGGGACTACAAGAACTTCCTCTAATTAAAACCTGATCTGGATGTGTTCCCAACATATGTTATGTCTAACTCTGATCCATTCCCAATAATAATTTTATCTGGTCCATTATAGTGTTAAAGATATGTTAGAATACTGAGTTATGTGTCATATGGCTACTTACTCTTGAGTCCACAACTCCACATACAAGGTGTCATCAGTGTTTCGAAGATTAGTAGCAGTCAATGTTGTGGTAGCTCATCTGCGGCTTGGTAAGAGTAATCTCACCCGTAAAAACACTTAAGAGCAGTATGGTTATTCCTACCACAAATTCGACACGCATCAGAATTGTTCCTCTCATGACTTCCACTTGAAGGACTGTTCTGAGGACCTAGTCCGTCTCTTATGGTATAAGAACATGTTCCCTGTCAAGCAGGCTGGAAGCCTCTTCCTCTTGAATTGAAATTATTGTTTCCACTTCTTTGAGAGTAATTTCCTCTTCCCCTACCTCTTTGGGTAGAGAATGCCATGTTATTATTTTGTTGAGGCACTTCTTCTTCATCCTCCCTCATATCAAAACCCCTAAGAGCATTAATAAATTGATTAAAAGTTGGATATGGCGCCTTACCTAACATGATAGTCTTGAAGGTCTTGTACTTAAGACCTAAACCTATAGAAAAATTAATCACTTTGTTATCCTCATCTGTAGGCTTATGAATGGTTGCAAGGCTATCACACATGCCTTTGAATTCCTTCATGTATTCATCAATTGGTTTGGTTCTAGCTTCACACTCTGTAGTTGTGCTTGAGCTGGAACTCCTTATATTTTGTTGCTTGAAGATATGCTTCTTCCAAGTGTTCCCACATCTACTTCGTTTTTGAGCAGCCTACGATCGGGTACATTCTTTCTTCTGTCAGGGTTCCTGATATACAACTCCTTAGTAAAACATCCTTCTCCTCCCAGTCATAAACAATGTTGTTGTCTTCTGCACCCTTCTCGCTTGCTATAGTTTTCTCCATAGTTTGTCAAGTGGAACAAGTCTCTTTACGTGGTTCTGTGATAAGATAGGTTAATATCATCACTTGAATCAACTGAGTCATTTGTGTCCTCCATAAAAGATGTTTTGTTGGCTTAAGCTTAATGGAGCAGGACGGAATAAGGTGATGGAGTGAAGAGGTTGAAAGAGTGTTGGTAGAAGGGGCCATTGTGGTTTGATAATTTGGTAGTTTTGGGTTATGATCTAATATGTTAAAGAAAGGAAAAACTTTATGCCCTGATACCATGTAGAACTCTCATAGATATGTGAAGAATCAAAGATTGTATTGATGATTGAATGATTGAGTTACATACTCCTTATATAGGAGAAGAGTCCTATACTAGGTACACTAGGAATCCTAATACAAGACAAATATATTATTTACACCTTATCCTAGTCGACTACACCAGCTTTAGTTGTACAAACTATAGACTTGTACATAAATTAAAATTTAGTAGTCTAGTGTAACTCGAACTCTAACTCGTCAGGCAGCTTCACCGAACCTGTTCTATCAGCTTCCTTCAACATATATGGCTTGAACCAGAAGTCAATGACACCAAAAGGAGAAAAATAAAAGCATAATGGAGGAAATGAGAGGTGAAGGTTTAAGCAGGGTCAAATGTATTGAGGACATATCCTAGAGCTAAGTTGCTCGGCTCTCCAAGAATATTGTTGCCCCACCTATGCCGGATCCTTAAAAAATACACTATTCTTGGAGGATCCGATACACACCCGTTGACATTTTTGAATTGTCCGTGCAACATAGGCCCAGGGAGTCTTATCAGTATTTACTGAGATCAAAAGCGTTAGGGAGACATTTTAATCACTTGTTTAACTCATACTACGATAATTTTTGCAGATCATCATACTTAAATACTAGACAAGAACTTTAGCTACACTCATAATATGTCCATAAAGAGGTATGAAGTGCCTTAGCGAGGTTGGAGAAGAAACATGTAGAAGGACTTGAGAAGTTATTCAATGTTATACTTCTGAGTAGAAAGATGCCAACAGAGGAGGAACAGTATTTTGGTGTAAGAAGCCGACCCTTTCTATTGATTAACTGTATCGTGAATCATGTTTTGAGTTTGTATATATGTTGATTTAACTATATATGACTTGTAGGGATCTTTTCGGTGATGAATTGAGGGTTCAAACGAGTTAGCAAACCTAATTTAAAAGTGAGATGAGGACCTAAATAGTGTTTGTCCTCAATCATGCTTTCATAAATTTGAATAGGTAAGTAAGAACTTGAAAGATTCATGTGAATTAAACTAATCATGTTGATTAATAACCCAAAAATGAGGGAAAGAATGTCTATTTTTAAAGTTAGGGGAAGTTGATCTTTAAAGCAAACTTAGGTAGTTTAAATGATATGTACACATAAGTGACATAAGCACAAGAGTGTATTAGGAAACTCTTAAAAAGTATTGAAATACTATATTGCTCGGACTCTCCGAAAATGCTGCTATAGATCCTCCAAAAATACTCTACTTTTAAAGGATCTAACACACACTCGTTGACATTTTTGTAGAATCCAAGCAACATAGTTGAAACATAGAAAAGATAATTTTAAGAACTGATCAATGAATAACTACAGTAGGAGATCTTACCTAAAATTTCAACAAAATTAAAAAGAAGGGAATGCAACGTCTTGATCACTGTGACAAAAAAACACACCAACTCGAATGAGATTCTTAATATTAGATAAGTTCATTTACTCTTTAGTTTCCTAAAATTCTTGTGGACATATATCATAAAAGAAATTGATATACCCTGAATATTAAAGAAACAAAAGGAAAATGATAAAACTGACCATTCCTGATGTAAATTCTGACAGACTTTGTCTTAACCATTTGTGAGTTATTAACAACATTCTCCAAATCATTGGCATTTGGTTTTCTTTGGCGACTCCGTGAAGTCAACTTGACAGGAACACCTTAATAGGGAGGAAAGGTGACTAATCAGTTCTTTTCTTTTTTATTTTGTTTTTTTTCCTGTGAAAGACAACATGAATTAGGTAAACAAAGAAGGAGGAAGTTAGACTCACAATAGTAGAGTAATTGTTGCCAAAAGTTTAGATGACTTCCGCTAAGGAAAGTAAATTCCTTCATGGCAAGCTCCTTCAAAGCAGATTTTCCGTCTAAATCATATTTTGCCAAATCAAGATAGTCTTCGACCAACTGTCTCGCAAAATCTATCAACCAAACTAGCTAAGTATAGTTTGCACAACAATTTCTTAGTATATCAATAAACTAAAATAAGATGTACATATATGGATTAGCAATTAGTACAGAGATATTGAAGTGTGTGACTATCTCATCTAAAAGATTAAGTTGTTAGAGAAAACAAAATTTTATTATTTAATGATATTCTCAACACACTGAGATTCGATTTCAGGATTTATGTCTGCTCTGATACCATGCTGAAGTGTGTCACCATTTTATCTAAAAACTTAAACAGTTAGAGAAAACATATTTTATTATTTAACAATATTCTCAACAAAAGATGTATAAATGAATAAGTAGAACAATAATGTTGTACAGAACAATACAAACAATTGTTGGCCGACCTAATTTTGGTAAAAATTGAAATCAGATAACAATAGTGACATGAAGACGGAAAAGAGAAATGGGGATGACAAGATATTAAGCTAATGAAGACTTATTCAAAGTATGATACAATGCTAATATGGTTAGGAATATTAAAAAGTAGTTATTGTTGCTAATTAGTCACAAAAATAGTAATCACTATTCACTATTGTTAGAATTTGTTAGAAGCAGTTATTTCATTAGCTTAGCTTTAGCTTCCATTTCAATTCTAATATAGATGTAATACAATTGTTAAGACATTGAATGATATATGATAAGTAGCTTCTATCTCGGATTCCCCTGATATAGCTATCTTCTTCTTCGAGGTTCATCCCCCTAGTTGATATTATCCCTTCTGTTACTGGTAACTGGATCAATTGGTATCAAAGTTGAAGGTCATCGACAGAGAAATCATGGTTGCTCGAGACAAAAATAAAGACAGATCTTCAGAGGAAATGGAGAGAAAATTTTCTCACATTCTGGAACAATTGCAGAAGTTGATAGAAAGTAGTGAATATGAATGATAGAATTGTATAGACAGATAAGGAATTAATGACGATCAGGCAAGCCCTAGGAAATGCAAAACAAAAGGACAAAGAAATGGATCAGAATAGAGCAAAATCATTTGTGCGTGGAGACAGAGCAATACAACTGGGGATCTCCAAAATTCTAATGGTAAATTTCTTACCTGATGTTCTAAACTTGATTTTCTAAATTTCCGGGGTCGGATTTGAGAGTATGGTTGTATAAAGGTGGATTGGTTTTTTGCCATGGATGAAGTTCCATATGATCAGAGGGTGAGAGTAGTTTTTATCCATTTGGATGTTGAAGTTATTGCTTGGCATAGATCATACTTGAAGTCTAGGAACTCAATTGTAGATCCTTCTTGGTCTGAGTATGTGTTGGCTGTTAATGAAAGATATGGGAGGAATTTTAAGATTCAATGGAAGCTATAAAAAATCTACAAAAAACTGAGTATATTAGAACATATCAGGCTGAGTTTGAAAGGTTATTGAATGGGGTTAATTTGTCAAACGAAAATGCTATCAGCTGTTTTCTGGGAGGGTTAAAAATTGAGCTCAACAAAGTTGTTAGAATGAAAGCACCCAAAACCTTAATGCAAGCTTACAAGTTAGCTAATTTGCAGGAAGAGGCTTGATGCTCAAGATAAGTCTTGGGGAATTAGTAGAAACAACAGGGTTTAGACTGGTCTTCTTCCTACTCCATCTAGGTTTCAGGATGTACGAAAACCTATTTTTTCTAGCACAAATGTCAAAAAACCTTATGAACCAAATGCTAACAGATTCAGTAATGGTAATACTGGTAGAAGGTTATTGATTGCTGCTCAGATGGATGACAAAAGGGCTAAAAGAATATGTTTCTTGTGTGATGAGAAGTATGTTCCTTGGCATATTTGTAAATCCAAGATACAATTGTATTTGGTTGAAGTTCTGGAAGATGTTGAGGTAACCATGGAGGAAGAAGTGTTAGAAGTGGATGAGTGCATGACAATTTCTTTACAAGCATTTACTGAAAGTACAGGTTATCAAACAATTAGAGTAAATGGATACCATGAAAAAAAAATTATAGGTGCTTATTGACACATGTAGTACTCATAATTTCATTGATGAGTCAATGGCAAGAAAGTTAGGTCGTAAAGCTTTGCCTATATACATGAACAATCAGTAAGTGTGGCTGATGGTAGAAGGATGTAAATTACTGCTGTATGTAAGAACTTAAGTGGTTACTGCAGGGTACAACTTTTTCTTCTGATTTCCTACTACTATCATTGGGAAATGTTCATATAGTATTGCGTGTGCGGTGTTTAAATACTGCAGGAAGGATTCTGTTTGACTTCACAAATAGTACTATTGAGTTTGTACTTGGGAAGAAAACTTGTCTTAAGGGGATCCAGTAGCCAAATCAAGACCACCAAGGCCAAATCCTTGAACAAAAAGAGTGATGAATCAGTTCAGGTCTTCATGCTTACCTTAGTGACTGATGCAGCCTCCGTTTGGCAATGCAACAGTATACAACTAAATCAAGGTACTGATATTCATCCTACCTTAACTGTTTTAATGGAACTGTACAAATGCATCTTTGATATGCCTACTACATTTCCCCCTCTTAGAGGCATCTTTGATCACAACATACCACTCAATGACTCAGCTACTCCTGTTAACAAAAGACCTTATAGATATCTAGGAATGAAGAAAGATATTATTAGAAGCTAGTATAGGAAATGCTAGATCAAGGTGTGATACAACCTAATTCTAGTCCCTATGCATCCCCTGTAGTCCTTGTTGGGAAGAAAGATGGGAGTTGGAGGCTTTGTGTAGACTATAGAGATCTGAACAAATTCACAGTAAAGGATAAGTTCGTATTCCTATCATTGACGATTTGTTAGAACTAGGAGGTGATGAAGTGTTTTCTAAGATTGATCTTAGAGTTGGTTACCACCAATTGAGAATGAAGGAAACAAATACATATAAGACAACTTTAAAAACTCATGAAGGACACTACGAATTTCTGTTTATGCCATTTGGTCTTTATGAATGCACTTTCTTCATTTTAGTCTTATTTATCTTGTATTCAAACCACTGCTTAGGAGTTCAGCACTGGTTATTTTTTATGATATATTGGTGTACAGCAAGGATATGCCAACTCATGTGAACCATTCACAAGCTTTGTTTGATTTAATGAAGCAACATCAGTTGTTTTCCAACGGTTCTAAGTGTGCTTTAGAAGTACCTGAGGTAGAGTAACTAGGTCATTTCATCAGTGCAAAAGGGGTAGCTATTAATCCTACAAAGATTTCTGCAATACAGGCTTGGTTTAACAGGATGTTATCTGAGGTTCATTCTGAATTTTAAATCCATTGCTAAACCTCTCAATTAATTATTAGAGCAGGATAAGTTTGTGTGTAATGAGGGTGCCACTACAACTTTTCATGTTCTCAAAGATGCACTGGTGACTGCAGCTGTCTTAGCATTACTAGACTATGATAAACAATTCATAATTGAATGATGCAAGTGGTTCAGGAATTGGTGTTGTCTTAATGCAACAAGGGAATCCAATTGCCTATATTAGTAAGTCATTAGCACCTAGACATCAGGCTATGCATGTATATGATACAGAGATGTTAGCCATTTACTAAGTGGTGTGATTATCTGTTAGGAAGGCATTTCACGGTGAGAACTGATCAAAATGCACTAAAACACCTCCATGAACAAAGTATTCACACTGATTTTCAGATTGCTCGTTTTTCGAAATTGATGGCCTTTGATTTCACTATTGAGTTCAATGAAGGGACGGAAAATAAGGCTACTGATGATTTGTCAAGAAATCAAAGTGCTGAAGTTGTTGGCAATTTCACTCCTAACTCCTAATGATACACTTTTGGAGAGAAGTAGCCTAACATGGACAGCTGATGCCGAGTTGCAAGCTGTTATTGTTAAGTTGCAAGCAAGGCCTATAAATTCTATATACCTAGATTGGTTCTCAGCTAAGGTGGGAAGGCAGGGTAGTAGTAGGGTCTGATTTGCAGTTAAGATAGACCATTATTCAGTTGTGGCATTCAACACCACAAGCTGGTCATGAAGGCATGGATGCAACTATTAAGAGGCTGCAATCCTTTTTTTACTGGAAGTCATTAGCAGCTGACATTAGAACTTTTATTTAGAAATGTGATATCTGTCAAAGTCATAAGTATGATGCAGCAGCTTACCCTGGACTACTTCAACCATTACCTATTCCTAATGGTGTTTGGATTGATATCAGTTTAGATTTCATTGAAGGTCTCTCTAAATCGAAAGGGAAGGATGTCATATTGGTAGTGGTGGATAGACTTTGTAAGTCTGGTCATTTCATTGCTATTGCACACCCTTACACTGCTGATTCTGTAGCTCAATGTTTTTTGGACAATGTTTTCAAATTGCATGGGATGACAACTCCTATAATAAGCGACATGGACCTCACTTTCTAGAGTTCTTTTTGGCAATAGTTATTTACATTACAAGGGGTCTTACTACATAAATCGAGGTGAATCAATGTGAAAGTTGCATAATGGAAAAACAACATAGAAAGTCTTTTCCTAAAGGGATGTCTTGGAGAGCAAATGTACGTTCGAAACTAATTCATGTCGACATTCGCGGACCAATGAAGACTCCATCACTTGAAAGTCAAAGGTACTTTATAATATTTATTGATGATTTTTCAAGAATGACTTAGGATTATTTTAAAAGAAAAGTCAGAACCATTTGCTACATTCAGAAAATTTAAAGCCCTTGTTGAGAAGCAAAAAGTTTGCAGCATCAAGACCATTCGCAATGATAGAGGAGGTGAATACACAAGTCAAGAATTTAAAGAATACTGCAAAAATGAAGGCATTCAGAAGCAACTTACAACAGGTACACTCCTCAATAAAATGTTGTATTTAAAAAAAGAACTAGAACAATTGTTGAAATAGCCAGAACTATGATGAATGAGAAAGGATTGCGAAATATTTTTTGGGCAGAAGCAGTACATACAGCGGTGTAAATCCTCAACAGGTGCCGACAAAGACATTGAAGGACAAGACACCAGTTGAAGCTTGGAGTGGAATGAAAACTTTTGTATGTCATTTTAAAATTTTTGAGTGTATCTGTTATGCTCATATACCTGGTGAGAAAAAAAAAATTGTGAATTTTTTTTAAAAATGTATATTTCTTTGTTATAATTATGTAACAAAAGGTTATAGGCTTCTCGATGTCAAAACTACCAAACTTATTGTTAGTAGAGATGTCGTTTTTTATGAAAAACAACATGAACTTGGAAGGATAAAAACATAGAGAATACTTCTATCATAATTAGATGTGTCAAAAGAAGAAGAGGATGAGGAAGAAGATGTCTCTCAAGGAGGAAAAATCTCAAATTCAGATGATAAAATCACCTCCAAGAGGAACAAAAATATTGAGCGATATTTATCAGAGGTCTAACTTTGTTGGAGCCAGAAAATATAAGGAGACAATAAAGCATGATGTTTGAAAGAAAAAATTTAAATGATTTGAGAAAAATAATACTTGGAAGTGAGTGAATATACCCAACGAAGAGAAATTGTAAGTCTAAAGAAGATTTACAAAGTCAAACTCAATCGAGAAGGAGATATTCAAAAGCACGAGAGAAAAGTGAAATTCAATTGCAATTATTGTCAGACAAAAGAACAACTTGTTGACATCTTCACAAAAACACTTTCTAGAGAAAATCTGTGCAAGACCTTTAATTTTACATTTTACTAGTATAAATAGATATGTAATTGATGTTTCTAGTCATCTCAAGTGACCTTAAGTAGATTATATGAACTTGGGAATTTTCTAAATAGAAATATATATTCTCCTTCTATTTCCTACTAGAATTACATCTCAAACTCAACTAACAAGCTGAATTAGTTTCTAACTTTCCTGCTAATTCTTCATTCAATTAACTAATACATCAATCTACTATATGAAGGTAGTAACTTAGCACCCTCCCAAATTTTAATTTCCCCTAAAGTTGTTAGCCAACTAATCAAAATAAGGAACTTATTTGTCATTTCAACCAGAAATCCCCAGCGTCACCCAAATAGGTACATACAATATAATACGAGTAAGATAAAGAGAAAGTAATTAAAGGATGGTGAATGATTACCATACAAGTCTGAGTGGATTAATCTGTTGAGAAGTCTAACACCACTGAGGTCAGCATAGGGAATAGATTCTTCAGTGATACTCAAGAAATAAGCAAACACATCCACAGAAATGTATCCGTATTCAGCTGCATAATGGATTGGATATAGACCACGTAAACAATGAATATATGGTAAACGAGAATTCCTCGATAGAAGGATTTTAGCTGCATCTAAGTTGCCAAATCTAGCAGCATAGTGAAGAGGAGTATCACCAAGGCTATCTTGTATGGCTATATCTTCATCATTTTCTATAGTCGCCACCAACTTTTCCACAAAATGCTTACCTTTTTTACCCTTTATCCCAACTGCTACATGAAGTGTTGTCTGTAAAAGAGAGTTGATCTGAGCTCTACTTGCTTCTGTATCTCTTGTCAAGAATTTTTCTGCTTCCTTCCAATCTCCACTTAGTGAAGCTCTATATAGTTGCAAGTAATAGCTAAAATCTTTCTTTGATTCAATGCCTTCAGCACGCTTGATGCTGCTATCAACTGTACAATGACAAACAAAGAGCTAGCTAGTATGAATTTAACTTCTATGAAATCATGGAATAAAAAAGTATGACATGTAAGTATCTAAGATATTAGACTCAGGTAAAAATAATAACTAATCAGGTATAATAAGTGGTTTTTGGGGTCAAAATCTAGTATTATCTTCATCCATTTTTATTTTTCTTGTTAAGTTTTTCGAAAGTTAAATTGATTAATTTTCTAAATTAAATTAGATTACATTAATTTGATATTCTAAACAAAGAATTTAGATATTTAAAAAGTATAACTGAAAAGTAGTATATATTGCAATTTCTTGCATATCAATATCATAAAAAATACACAGTAAAACGTTAGTCAACATTCTTATAATTTGACTCTAAAAAAGAAAATCTTGACAATTAAAAGTGAAAGGAGAGAGTAACTTTTGTACTACTTTAAGAGAAAAGTTTATTAATTATGATTCCAACTACTATCTCTATCAAATAATACTTTAATATTTAGTTCCTAATTTATCTTTATCATCATTATATATACGGCAAAGGGCAATTATACCATGTACTATATTAAATAGTTTAAATATATCCGTAGTTATATTTTTGGGTTAAATATACCCTTTCCGTTATACTTTCAGGTTAAATTACCCCTGACATTATATTTTCAAGCTAAATATACTCTTATCACTAACAGAGAACAAATGGGTGGCTAAGATTAAAAAAATTACTTAATTTAAAATAAATCAAATTCGAATATTAACGCCCTGAATAATTTAATCCGACCTAATCAAATTCGGGTACAATTCTTGGAAACTTTGTGAAGCTTCTTTGCATCATCATGAAATATAAAGCAAATCGTGTCATTGTATTCCAAAAACTCTTTCCGTTGTTTACCAATGTCACCACCTGAGTTGTTCCATGGGCAACATTCTCAATCCACAGAGCTATTTTTTCTTCTCTTACTCGAAAAAGTTTCATCTCAATAATCAAATTGCTCTCTAGTCAGTGCCAACAACATATACATCCAGCTGGTGGGTCAATGTTATAGAAAAGTTCGTCGTTCACTTCCCTCCATTGGCACATACAGGCGGGTCTATGATATATCAAATTGAATTATTTGGGGAGAGAGGGGGGGGGGGGGTTATATTCAAATTTAATATAATTTAAATTGAATAGTTCTTTCGATTTCAGCCGTCCACAAGTTCTCTGTTAGTCACAAGGCTATTTAGCTCGAAGTATAACGGGAGTGGTATATTTAGCCCAAAAGTATAACGAAGGGTATATTTAAACTATTTCATATAGTATAGGGATATATTTGACTTTTTACCGTTATATTAGTTATAGTCATTTTTCTTGCATACTTTCAAGACATTACATTAATTATATTAAAAGGATGATATAATAAAATAAAATTATCTTTTTATTTTATAATTTCTTAAAAAGTGTGCAAAGTTAATGATGAACAAATATTGTTTGATAGATAAAGTAGAACCCCTAATCCTCGCAAAATATATTCTTATTAAAGAGATTGTTTCTAGATTATGTAAAGATTATATTTAAAAAATAGTTAATTACTATGGTTTTTATTATGAAAAATGCATAAATTCTCATTTAAATTTATTTCGAAGAATCAATTAGAAGTTTAAATTATCATACAACTTATTATAAGGTGTTAAAATTGTGCGGGCTCCACTCCAGTGTCATCATACATGTCGTTCAAAAAAATTGTTTGCTTGTAGATTAAAAAAAAGGTATGGGAGTGTGGGACCTACATAAGACATCAATCTAGTTCCAAAAAATGAAGAAAAATACCACATGCACTATTTTTTTATGGTTAATTTTTACAAGAATGTTATATTTATTTATGATAAGTATTTAAAGGTATAATTTTTTTATTATTAATTTTATTTAATTTTAACAATAATACTTAAATATATTTATAATGAGAGATGAAAGTAAATTTATTTTTAAAAAGTAATTTTATAAATATTTCAAAGTCTTTATTTATTTTAAATTCTGTATCAAATTAAATATTATCATATAAAATGTGACGGAACAAAATAATTAGAATGCTTACCTGCCGAATTTTAGATGTAACACACTTTGATTCGTCATGTCATCTCATCACTCATCATGATAAGTTTACAAGACACATTTTTATTATATTATATTATATTATATATCAATTAATAAAACACAAACTTTAAAGTCTCGGTAGTACGAGAAAAAAAAAATAATTATTTAGAAATATATTTAAAATAAAGTTGATTTATAGTTTGTAAAAATATTGTTACAAAATAATTTAGAGATAAATGTTTAAAACACACTTAAATTATTTATTTATTTTAGTTTGATATTTAAACTATTGAAAGTGTGAATTTTATATCTAAGTTATCACTTTTTAGTTTGAGATACACACATAAATGGTGTATGTAGTGCACTCTTTCTTTTATATGAGAAAATTTTGACACATGACATTCTATATAGATAAAATATTTTATCTAGATAAAAATTAAATAATAAAAAATTAATATTAATTAAAAATTAAAGAACTGTCCATATAAAAAAATAAATTATTTTTCTTATCTCACTACACCACCTCCTACACGTACGCTTCCTCTCCCACGACAACTCCATCCTTTTTTTAAAAAAAATCATTTATAAAATATAAATATTTTTAAAATTTTCATATTTCATCCTCCCCTCCCCCTACCGATAGAAATAGATATTATTTTATTTTTAAAAATACCCCGTCTTATATAATTTTTTCGCTCCTAATTTTTTATATTTTTCTTATTTTGTGTTGGATATGTTCGTACATATATTTTTAGAAAAAAATTCATTAGTGTACCGAATATAACATAAACAACTTAAAAAATATAAAGTCTTGTGGTGGCAAGTAAAAGATATTTTCGATATTTATATCTAAACATTGGGGAAAAAATTGAAAGTGGGGGGTTAAGTGGGATGGATAGAATTATATTTTTAAGAAAATAAAATAATATCTAAATTAGTATTTGATGAGGGGATGAGATGAAGTAAAATATGAAATAAATTTTTAAAAGAAATTTTAAAAAATAGTTTGGGGTAAGAAAAATATTTTACATTTTATTTTATAAAAAAAAATATTATTTTGTTAATAGTTTTTAAATTTTTAATTTTAACTATATTAATAATTTATTTATTTTTAGTCAATGTTGAATATTTTATCCATGTGGAGTGTGTGAAAATTCTTTAAATAAAAGAGAGTGTGTATACACATACCATGATGAGAGTGGTATAAAAGTGAGAAGTGTGTTTCTCAAAATAAAAAGTGATAGTGTAGGTATGAAACTCAAACTTTCAATAGTTTAGGTATGAAACTAAAAGAAAAAAATTATAATTTAGGTGTATTTTTGAAACTTATCTCAATAATTTATCCTGTTCTTGGAATAATTACTTGTTCTCAGCTTCTCCATTTCTATTTTTGTGTTTTCTGTGACGTCCTACATGTATCATATCATATAAAATATATGTATCTACTTATTTAATTTATACAAATTTAAATATCTATTTGTGCCCATAATTATCTATTGAATTCACAAAAATCATATACATGCATTATGCTAATTGCGAAAGAATAAGTAATAATTTAAATTTGGTGAATTTTAGAATAAAACGAAGCATGTATGAGATCAGTGCTTCCATTATGTTTTTAATCAAATTAATTTTTAAATTTTTTGACATTTAGGGTTGGTTTAATCAGAGTTCAAGGAATATTTTTTTTTCTTCGAGGCTTCAAGATTATTTTATGTAATACTTTCTCATTCTCATTTTATACATCATATTTTTATTTTATAGTTGCATTAAAAAATAATATAATTTTAATTTTATATTTTTAAAGTTATTTTATAATAAATAATAAATATATTTTCAAAATAATTAATTACTATATCAAAAATATAATATATAAAATATAATAATTTAAGCATAAATTTTATAAAATAACAAATATCTATAGAAAATGATGACAAATACTACTCACTATTAGATTATGGGAAGTTTCAATTACAAAATTTGAGAGTAGTAGAAAAATAGGGATTTGGTACCTTGAGATGTAGGGCTGTAAAGTTCCTCCAAAACCAACCAAATCTCTCTAGCAGAATCTAATTTATGAACCGCTTTATCCTGAAGAAGTTCATCACTAAGAGAACCGAAGATCCATCCTTTAACAAACCCATCACTCCTTTTCCTTTGCAAGTAATCTTCATCAATTCCCATTTCTTCTTCTTCTTCGGGCTCATCGTCATCGCCATCGCCATCGCCAGGAGCAATGGTCAGTAGAGGAAATCGGATTGTTCCATCAACAAATCCAAATAAATCATGACTCTGAAGAAGACAAACAATCTGAGTTTTCCATGGAATGTAGTTAGATTTACCGCATAACTTGATGGATACAAAGTTTGCTACATTAACCGTTGATAAGTGGATCTCGGGATTTGAGCTTGGGAACGTCATTGTTATCTTTGCTATCAGATGAATACAAAGTCTATTACAGTCAACTGGGTTATTGGTGGGAACTTCACTTGGACATTGCTATCAGTACGGCCAAAGTGTGTTTACTTTTTTGGATGAAATTTAAGAAGAAAAAACCACACAGTTGGTGAGCCATAAATTTAAGTGAAATTTTAAATTATCAAAATTGTTCACTCTTCACTTTTGATGTGGCATATCTCAAATATATATTCTCTCCGTTAGTAATTATTCAATATTAACTTTATAAAGTTAATAGTTAATAAATATTATTAGACAAAGGATGTACTACTTTTGGAGAGAATTTGACACATGCTTATTGACATTTTTAAAGAAAGGAAAAGGGTCTGATATACCTCTCAGCTTTGTCATTTAAAGTTGATATACCCTTTGTTATAAAAGTGACTCATATATGCCCTTACCGTTATACAAACGGCTCACATATACCCCTGTCGTTACAAAATGACTCACATATACCCTTCATTTAACGGAAATTAAAAAATTAGTTTTAAATTTATATTGTTACTTCTAATTTTTTAAAAAAAATTATTTAGGGGTATATATGATTCTTTTATCAAAGTTCAAGGTATATTTTAATTTTTTTTATACATAAATTATTTTTTGACTTCTTTTATTATAATTATTTGAGTTTCTTATTCTTATTTTGTTTTTTCTTTCATTCCTTACTTTAAAGAAAAAAATTTAAACTATTTTTTTTGTGTGTATTGTAATTTAATTTCGTATTCGAAGAAAAAATTTGGTCATCAATAATAAGTTTTACAAGAATATTAGTGAAACATAAATAAATTTGATTATCAAAATAATAATTATAAATTAGTCATTAAAACAAAAAAAGTCAAAAAAATATGTTTGACAAGGATTAAATTTACTCCTATGGGATTATATTTTTTAGAAAAAAATAATAAAATTTTAAATTAAAATTATTTTTTTTCATATCCGTTAGAGGAAAAAGGGTATATGTGGGTCATTTGTTTACAAGTAGGGGTATATATGAGCCACTTTTATAACGAGGGGTATATCAGCTCTAAATGACAAAGTTGAGGGGTATATCAGACCCTTTTCCCTTTAAAGAATCAAAACAAGATATGGTATTAGAATGTGCCAAATTACAATTATAACAATTTGTTTTATGAAAAAAATAATTCTTCTTATAATTATTTTTAACGCAATCTTTTAACATTCGACAAATAATTTTTTTTCAAGACTTTTGCAGATTAGATAATTCAGAAGAGAAACAACATTGTTTGGTGTTGAACAAATAGAAATATGGTGTTAGTGAAAAAATTTACAAAAAAATAAAATTGCAAGATTACAATTGAAAATAAAATGAAGAAATTAATTTCTTCAGGTTGAAGCGCGGATATCTTGCTCTCTTTAAGGAGATTCAAGCTCACTGCAACAAATGTTTTCATCGGTCTAGCAGTAGTCCTCTTTGACTTATCCCCTACAGGATACAACAACCTTCACAAAGTAACTCAACAGCTCTGGACAAGAGTTGAGTCCAAAGCTCCACAAAAAAGAACATCTCCCTTCAATTAATAAGAACTCTCTTTTAGACTAACTCTTCCACTCTTTGTTTTCTCTTGTGTTTTGTGTGTACAAAACCAAATTAAGACCACCACTATTTATACTACAAGAAGTCTTCCTAGCAATGAATAGGAACATAATGGAGGTAATAAATAGTGAAGATAATGGCCTTAGGAGTTTCATAGGTTACATATTTTACAATATGAGTTACATAGGTAACATAGGTTACAAAGAGTAATGGAGAAATTAAAAATGAAATAAAGTGATGGATAACCAATGCTAATGGATGATGTAGAAGTTATCCATTCCAATGTTTATTGGAATGTTTTTATCTCACAATGAATTCAGCCGATAAAGCCAAAAGTAATGGCATTACATGACTACCAAGTCAAAAGATGAATAGCATGATTAAATTGGTAGTTTAAAACACAAATGCCTACCAATGGTCATTCTTATAACTCTAAAATAAAACAATTTAATATGTTAAATATTAATATTAAAATGCTAATAACCTAACAATCCCCCACTCATTTTAATATTTAGATAAGAAAGTATATTTGTTGAAGGAAGACTACTATGCATAATGAAGGTGTGCTCTGCATTGAACCTCCACTTAGTGAAACAGTAACTTTTACTCCAGAGTCGTTGTGGTCTCAGACTTTAATTATGACTGCTTAAGGGAAATAAAATATCACTGCTCGCACATAATAATCAAGGTGTTGACATGGGCTTTAACAGCCAGCACGTTATGGCCATGTGCTATCCCGGTTTCATGAGTGCATTTGATAATAAG